ATGCACATTGTTGGGGATGCTTTTGGACTGGGCTAATCAGAAAGGGAGTAGGCGGCAGGTGTGGGACCAAAGGGTGTGTGGGGGCACTGGGGAGAGGCGGGGGAAGATGACAGATAAGGAGAGTAAAACAAGTTGAAGGTGCAGTAGTTTTCATAGTCTGAGTCCAACTCTGCAGACACACTGCCTGAGTTTCAACCCCACTTCTGCCTCTTCCTAGCAGTGTGACGTTGGGCAGACCTTCTGTGGACCACTTTCCTCATCTGCAAAATGGGGATAATAAAAGTACCTTCCTCACAGGGTTGTTGTGAGGGTTAAATGAGTTACTGTATATAAAGGGCTTAGGAAAGTGCCTGGAACATATAAATATTTGCTTCTATCATCACCAATTATTATTATTATATACACGAGACTCTCCCAAAACTCAAGTTACTTAAGCAAGAATAGAACTTTGAAATACCTTTTAGGATATTCTTCCAAATGACTTTTGATTATCCTAATAACGTGTTCTATCTAAGACTGAGAGTGTTATCCCAGCAAAATTGCAGCAATGGCTTAGTTTTATGGTAGAGGAAGATGGGCCAGCTCAGCCTGGGGGTCTGTTCCCCCAAAACTCACCTTGAGTGAATGGAAGCAGTCAGCGAACCTATAGACTGTTTATCTCGGAGGGACTGCTGTGACATCCCCAAAGCCTCAACCATTATTACTGCTCCTTTTTCATTTACAATTATTATGAGTTTTTTTATTTGTTTGTTTCTTTGAAAAGTGTGGGACACAGTTCATGGATCACTGCCTTGTGAGTACCCATTCAGACAGGGTTTCCTTGGAAAAACAACGCTCATTGACTCAAGTTCCTCATTTTGGGGTCCACTATATACCTGCTCTTTTTCTACTTCCCTATTCCTTATTCCCCACTAATCACACACACACAGACACAGACAGAGACACACACACACATACACACACACACACAGAGCCGTGTGCTTTATGTTCTCCTTTCCCCTGACTATGTGATTATGGACCCAGAACTAGAGGAAGAGGGCGTCCAAGCAGCATCATATTTGATTGAATTGACTCCAATCTTTTTGTCACAGAGTTTTTTGTTTTTGTTGGTTTGTTTTTTTCTGGCCTAGACTCCAGAGAGAACTGGAAGAGAAAAATACATGTAAACTCAAAAACAAATGTAAATCTCTTTGCAAGAATAGGGAGACTGATGATATATGGATGCATTCCATTTGTTTTCATTTTTGTAGCGTAACGTCTTGGCTCTGATTGTGAGTTACACATATGCATTGTAAAACGTTTAAAAAATAAAGAAATGGAAAATACAAAAATCACATGTAATCCTCCCACTCAGCTATAGTAAGTATTAACATTTTTTTTGTACAGAGCCCACCAGGCCTTTTCTTACAAATACGTATACACACATATACTTTTTATTAAACAAAATCGGGATCACAGTGTGTACACTTTGTAATTGGTTTCAGTTTTCAAATAGTAAACATACCCAAAAATAAATTTCAGGAAAAAAAAGAACAAAGATCCCTCCCTTTAGTCTTGTCCTCACAATTGTATCAGTTTCCTATTCCTCTGCACTGTACCCTTCTTTTATGTCCATCCAGTCCTGGTTGCAACTGGTTTCTTATTTTCTGTGTCTTGTAGACTATATAGCACACAGTTCCTGGTAAGTTACTCAAATTTCCAAACCACACAACTGGTAAGCATGAAGAAATTACTGTAAGATCAAGGACTGAGAATTAATATTACCGTAACTGACAGACTCAGACAGTTATTAACTCTAACACGTTAGGTCAGCTGCTGGCCACACTTACCCAGATATCAGAGTCTGGCACCTTCTATGGGCAGGAGACAGAGTCTTGTTGAGATGGAAGCTTCAGCTTCATATGGTATCCTTTTTCTTAAGAGATTTCTGCTTGTTTGGGGCCTTTCTATTCTTCAGGTCCTCCCTGGGTTTCGTCCTGGAATGACATCAGTAAGTTTCCGCCTGACATACCTAGTCTACGGTGACAGGGATGGAAACAGTAGTTACCTACGTGTGTGCATGTGTCTGTGTGCATACGTGCTGCTTTGACTGGAAAGGGGCGAGAGTGGTGCCTCTGGGTAGTATTTCCACGGATGTCACACATGTAATGCGTGTTTGTGTACTTCACTGTGTGATGTTACAGCTCAATTAAAACAAAAAAAGTGCTGCTTCATTCACCCTCCTGCCAGGCTGTGAGTGATCTAGGCTGCAGATCTAGTCAAGACCTAATAAATCCCAGAGACTGCAGACCAGCATTGTCTTAGCTGTAGAGAGCGCTAGGCTTTTTAGTTCTTGGACTGCTCCATAAAGCAGCAATACCCAGAGATGCTCCCCACTCAACAAAAGGAAGTTTTGTGGTCAAATAAGTTTAGGAAATGCTGTCCGCTTTGAAAGATTCACAATGCACATTGGAATGTTCAAGGCCCTAAAGTCCTGTAGCAAAGAAACAAGTTTATCCCAACTTGTCCTAAACTTAATCACGAAATTCTTTTGATTAATACCTACTAACGCCTCATTGAAATAATCAGCCTACGTTTAGGCAAAAGCCTGGTTAAGGCCTGTCCATGAATACCCGCCCTCTACCCCTGCATCAGGTGACATGTTCGCCACCTGCTGGTTGTATTGGGTATGAAGTCACTCACTAGGGAAGCTTCTGTTCTCACTAAATTGCACTCACAATCCGGAGTTCGTTGTCACAGTGCTCTTAATTATGTTTTTCCACATTTGACATACCAGGGACTGAACAACGTAGCTTGTCATAATTCAGTTACGAAAGGAAGTTTTTCATGCAGACCCTCAACATGGAAGTCAAACCATACAGATCAGCACTGAATACGAGGGACCAAAAGAAGTGAAGCATCTGATAAAATGAGAACAAAGAGTAAAAATGAGGGCGACGTGCTTTAGAATTGTAGGATTTTATAGATTAAATACTTGTGATAATAAGTTCAGTTAGTCTGTCCCATTTATTCTCTAATTTGAAATCCAATTTATGTTTAACAGACTTGTTCAACATCTAATAGATGGATGAGCTAATCCTTAAGGCCATCTGAACCAGTATTAGACATTTTTGTTTAAATTGGTAAGTTTCACTACTTTTAGTTCTTGAGGTTATAATTGTTAAAATGATATCGTAATTGATTTGGGAAGAAGACAAGAAATAAAAATAACATAAAGGAAAGGAATGTGATAATATAATACATTTATACCATAATTTATTTTTTAAAGACTTTCTTTTATTACGCATTTGTTTATAGACTGTCACACAATCTAAGAAGAAAAATTTTAAATGTTTTCTACAAATAATCTTTCACCATCTGTTCTATTTATTTTCCTGTCTCAAAACATTATTTACTGCTAGCAGAGATTTCTTTTAAGCCACCATTTGTGTTAGAATGGCTAAAGGTTTAAGCATCTAGGCAGTTGCTACCTGACACTCGGGTGGGTTGAAAAGCGTCCGGCAGCCCAGTTTCGGTGCCCCTTCTTCACTCTTTATCTCCATCCATCTCATCTGGATTTTTCCAAGGAGCCTCCAACTTCCTGAGAAAAAGCAAACACCTGCCTAATCCTTCTAGGGCAAAGGTGCTTATGTTCCAAATTTCAAAGCTTTAAGGAAAGAAACTCCTAATTTTAAATACGAACAAGTATTTCAAATAATTTTACTCTCAAAGAAGCATACCTTGTAGTGTGTCAGCCTTGCTTTAAAAAGACTGTGTAAATTTGGCTCCTGGAGCAGTATTCCCAGCATTCGAAGACTGATTGCATCACACGACCATAGAAATATGCTGATTCCGGGGCTTTTTCCTCAGCGAGGGGAGGGTGAGGCCTCTGCATGTTGAACTTGCCCCTTGGATGCCGATCCAATCACCTAGGGAGATTCTTTTTTTAATGCTGATGCTGGACCCACCTTGTGAGTCAGGACGTCTGTATTTATAAAGAATCCCACCAGTTATGTGAATGAGCACAGAGGCTTGAGAACTTCCGCTCTGAGAACTGATTAAGTGAAAGGACAAATGCGGAAAGATCGGGTGGGAAGGGATAGACTGGGATTTCAAAATTGTAGAATAGATAAACAAGATTACACTGTATAGCACAGGGAAATATACACAAAATGTTATGATAAATCACAGAGAAAAAAAATGCGGAAAGATCTATTTCTATTTGCCAATGCGTTGTTTATTAATGCGGAGAAGGAGTGGCAAACGTATTAACCAAGTGCAGAGGAATTGTTAGTGAAGGATGGAGGAAATCAGGTGAACGGACAATTGAATGCCGACTTCTCAACCTGGAACAGGCTCACAGGGGCATTTCAGTGACCTTAGTTCTTAACCCTGGCTGCTCTTTAGAACCTTCCAGGAGTAAGCTTTTAAAAATTACCGAAGCCCGGGCCCTACTCCAGACCAGTTAAATCAGAAGCTATGGGGGCAGGGCGTGGGGTGCTTATTTTACCAGCTCCTGGGGCGACTTGAGCCCTGCCTCCTTCAGCCGCATTGTCTGTGACATGTGAGAAGCTGTTTGAGTCACCTGCTATTGTTGACATCACAAGCAGGTCATGTTTGCCTCCAGACCCTTGGGGGCCAGTCTTTTAAGGAAATGAATGCTCGGCACGGTCCTTTTGTTCCACCTCTGCAACCACCATGATTAGGCTTCACTGTTTTATTTATAAAAGCAGTTGCCACCTGTTTCTTGCCATAATTTGTAGCGGTATATTGCTTAGCGCAAAAGCCAGAAAGTTACGTAACATCTAAATTTGCTAGATAAAATGTGGGGGGATGGGGAGAAGTATTTGTGGAATTTTATGACCTGTTGCTTAGCAACTTCAAGAACTTCAAGCTTCTGCATTCTGTGAACTGTCAGACGGACAAAGTTTAGTGAGCCCAGTCAATTACTTCTTGCTACCAAAAGGAAATTAATCCTTCATTACGCAAAGGGCCTGAAAAGTCACCAATCAGGGCAGGCTATGTCACACTTCTTCTACTTGACTCCACAAATTCTTCTGCCCTTTAGCCCTCTTACTTCTCAAGAATTTGATCTGATCAGACGGAAGGCTGGAGCATCTTGGCAGAATGAAACAAGATGGTCAAATTCTTCTGTAACAACATACACAGGCAGTTACCGGAAAAAACAGCTGGATGATTACCCATGCAGCCGACTTTCTCTTAAGGCAGGACAGCACTGGCCTGAGTGTAACCAGTAAGCTTCCTTTGTAATTCGCACCTGGCTGGGTCACCATAACTGATCGAGAATGCTCTTAGAAGGAGGAGGGTACTGTAAACCCCTGAGAGACTTCCTGGACTTTCGCGTCGTGTATTTTCCTGGGTTAATGTCAGGGGGAAGAAGAGCTACGTGTCAGAATCAGTTGGATTCCCTATTTAGTATTCATAAAATTATGTATAACTCCATACTCTTTAAGAGTTAAAAAATCAGTATTTGGTTAAAATGTAGATAAAATGTGTTCTCTGCTCAGGGAAGAGGTGCTTCTGCAAATTTCACTTTTTTTCTTGCCTAGTTTTTTCCACTTTGGGGAGATGGACTATTCCCTCAGTGCAGGAGGCAAGTCGACTCCTCTCCCCTCAGCCTCATATTGTCTGTCGATGAATTCAAGTGTTGAGGTCCAGAAGACATTTTCTGAGTGTTTACTATAAATCAAGCCCTGTGTTAGGTCCACAAAAAACACTGATTTCAGTTTAATATGGTAGCTGAAACCATAGAAATAAGTAATCAGCACAAGGCAAGGAGATTTTATCACTGTCTCTGGTGGGGCAAGGGGTATTGTGCTTCTGGAAAAATCTCCGTAAGTCAGGTTCTTCTAAGCTGGTAGAGGAGGTGGAGAGGACAGGAGGGCTGCCTGGAGGAGAGAGCGCACAAAGGCAGAAAGCACTTAATCCCAGGTGTTACCTGAGAGCTGCGAGAAGCTCAGTGAGTTTGAGACAGGAATCATCAGTGAGGATGTGGGAAAATGAGCCCTTGTTACGCAGTCTGTCCCTCTGTATGTTAATTGTCAAACACCTTGTCCAAATTCTGGAAATCTATTTGAAAATCAATTGGATTATTAGCTCCAACTTGAAATGTGAGGAGTACTTCAAGTAATACCCTAATAAATGCTAGTTATTTTGCCTCCCAGGGCTTTCCAAATTATCAAAACAAAGCTGAAAGCTGAGGTATCTCAGAAGTATTTTCCAATCAGATGCCTTGTCTGGTGTATTCCAATGAGCTACAGTCTCTGGATTTTTGATAGCTCTCGAGTATGTTGACACTTGAGTTAACTTTGAAAGTCCCTTTGCTAATTCTGTGAGTGCCGAGGCACCCCTGGGCCAGCTAGGGGAATCTTCAAGCACTGCTGGGGTCCTCTCTGGAAATAAATAGTATTTGAAAGCTAGATCCAGATAGATCCACAAACCAGAGTAGAAAAAAATATAATAACCGAAAAAATGCAGAATTATGACATCTGGTGAAAACGTAAGAAGTTTGAATTTGTTTCCGATTCAGATTATGATCGTTATGTGAATCATTCCAGCCAGGGCACCCTGTGACATTGCAAGCCACAGAGAGCACCAGCTTGCGAGGTTTATCTGGTTCTTGGAACCTCAGAAATGTAAATATATCCTTTGCATAACTACTGCTTATTATATTACAGGCTAAGAAACAGCAAGTGTTATAAATGAAGGTGAAGGGCAGATTCAGCTCATTTTGAAAGTACTGATTATATTCTAAATTTGCTTTTGTTTTTAATCTTTTTTCTTGGTTAATTTTAGCCCCAAGGACAAATGTCTTAAGTTCTGCGCCAAAGCTGTTTGATTAAAATTTTGTAAGGCTATCAAGAGACATTGTTACACTGCTATAAAATCAGCATGGTCCAAGGGGGATTAATGAATAAAATATGAAATGACTGATCATTTAAAATGTAAGTCAGGAAAATAGGAAGGTATACAAAACACACTACCTTTTATTCACCTTATTTATTCACCACATACACTGAATACCCATAGTGTGCAGGGCAGAAGAAACTTGGTAGAAGTCCTGATCATTCGGTTCTGAGTCAGTTTTAACAGCAAATATGTAAAACTTATGACATGCAAAAAAAAAAAAAGAAAGAAAGAAAGAAAAGGATCCTGCCCTGAGAGAAGGGGGATTAGTGTGGAACAGAACTTAAGGTGTTATGGAATATTGGTATCAATCCCAGTTGTCTGCCAAGATGAAAATAAGAGTGGCATTTTGCAATTCCTAAGAGAGGGATATGGCTCAAGTATAACTTTTTGTCTTGATGCTTTGTTTATTCATTAAAGTATTCATTTATTCATTCATTCATTCATTCATCAAATATTACTAAGGTCCTACTATGTGTAAGGTCTTTTAGACCAGATGCGGGGGTGACATCAGTGATCAAAACATACACAGATCTCGCCTTCCTGGAGCTTATAGTCTGGTGAGGGAAACAAGCACCAGGACACAAACCATCTGTACTTTGAAGGAAACAAAGAGGGAGCTTTGTTAAAAACAGAGATGGCAGTTTCTTATAAAACTAAACGTAGTCTTACTCTGTGATCCAGGAATCGTGCTCCTCAGTATTTACCTGATTTGCAAATCTGTGTCTGCACATGAATGTTTACAGCCACTTTACTCATAATTGCCCCAAACTGGAGGAAACCAGATGTCCTTCAATAGGTGTGAACAGATAAACAAACTAGTACATCTATGCAGTGAACAGCAGTCAGCAATAAAAGGAAGTCACAAAGAGACATGGCCGAATCTTAGCTCCACAGTCCTGAGTGAAAGAAGCCAGTATTAAAAAGTCACATTCTGTCGGATTTAAGTTGTATGATCGTCGGGAAAAGCAAAACTAAGACAGTAAACAGATCAGTGATTGTCAGGGGTTGGGACTGGGTTGAGTAAATGAAGCACGGGGATTTTTTAAGGTCAGTGAAACTACTCCGTATAGTACTGTAATGGTGACTATAAGACATTAAATTTTTGTCAAAACCCAGAACACTTTACAGAACAAAGAGTAAGCCTTAATATAAATACATTTTAAAAATGATTTAGGAGATCGGGGGATCCCAGGATGGAATACACAACATGACAAAGGAACACTGTATTACAAAGGTAGGAAACAAGCTCACTGAAGGGGCTGTGGGAATAAGGTTCTGACCTAAGTAACTTTGGAAATGAGTGGAGTTTGCAAAACTAAGCGGGAAAGGAACTGGACGTAAGCACTGCACTCTAGTTGATAAAGCTGTCTCGCTCGGGGGTCCAGGTAACAGTTCTGAAACCGCCATACACAAATACTGGAATTGAACAGTTAAGCACATGGATGATGGATGGTGGGTGGTGGTTTCTTCTGTTGGAGTGAGAATTTGAAGATAAACAAAGGGAAGAGACCAGAATGATCCATGTGTTAATGGACTGGAATTGGGTACAGTGGTATGAACTCATGTTTACCTTGATGCAGATACAGATGGTTCCAAACAGAAATATTTATAGAGATGGCTAAGTAGGCACACACATATTTCCTTGTTCTTTGGAAGAAAGTCCCTTTGTGCAGCCCCTATCAGTATGGACCATCTCCTGAGAGGGCCTAGAAGCAATACCTTGTAACAACAACACCTAGTGCCCAGATTTGGTTTCTAATTCTGTTCTCCAATAAAGGAACCAGGGTTTCTTGGAGAAATGACAATTCTCAGACTGGGGCAGAAGATAGACAAGATGAGCCTGAAGCATCTTATAGTGCTGGAAATTAGTAAAGTGTCAAAAAAAAAAAAAAGCCAATGATGGAGCCAACTGAAAGAGTTCCCAATGACCAAAGGTGGGAAAATTGGAGCAACAAAGTAAAGCGGTATTGTATTACAGCCCAAAATGTAAAATAAATAGCCGTGAGTTCATTCAGATTGGCTCAAATGAATGACTGAAACATGCATAAACAAGGGAGAAAGAACAGATCTCCCATGCAGAGAGACTCCAAGTGATTTACGTAGTTAGTTTCTGCTCAAGGAGGTGAAGCGTAACTCACTGTTTCTTAAGTGTGAGCTGTGCATAGTGACTTTCTTCTAATGAATAGAAAAGGGGGGATGAGAAAAAAGAGAGTAACTTATAGTGGGGAAAACCCTGACAATTACTTCAAGCCAGCTGATTATATATTAGCTTAATGGCCCAACAGAAGGTTAATTTTTGAAACTGGCCCAATAGGTGGTTAATATCAACAGTGAGAAGCCATATTGATAGTCTTTGCCCTGGTATGATGTGATGAGAATGGTACTTTCTTTCCACGCCCTTCCTCCCCAGAATATATTATCCTCACTGAATCACGAGAAAAACATCAGACAACTCCCAATTCAGGGACATTCTACGAAATAATAGCTGATCAGTAATCCTCAACACGATCAAGGGCATGGAAACATGGAAAGTCTGAGAAACTGTTGTCACTGTTGTGTGGAGCCTAAGGAGAGAGAACAGATCAATGTAACGTGGTATCGCAGATGGGATCCTGGACCAGAAGAAGGACATTAGGAGAAAACTGAGAAAAACTGAAGAAAGTATGGACTCCAGTTAATAATGTGTCAACACTGGTTCACTAAGTGTTATAAATATACCAAACAAATTTAAGAGGCTAATAATAGGGGTAATGGGTGGACTAGACTGGATCTCTGTTATCGCCACAAAAATTCTGTCCATCAAAAAGTGTTCTGAAGTTAAAATTTTAATTTAAAAAAACAATGGGGGGAGGTGGAGAGGAGAGCTACTCTGTATGGGATGATCAGAAGGCAAGAAGTATTAGGGTCAAGGAGGGACATTTTCTGATGCTTGGAGGGTCAGCCAACTAGAAAGATGTGACAATCCTAAACTGGTCTGCATCGAATAGCACAGTCTACTCCAGGCTTATTAGATAAAACCGAGGGAGTTAAAAGGAGAAATAAGCAAGTCCACAATCAACATTTTAACATACCTGTCTCAGTAACTGGTTGGAACATGCAAATAATCAGCAAGGACACACCGAATTTGAACGGCACAATTAAGACACCGATACTAATTGATGTATCGAGAGCACTGAACCCACCAACTGCAGGATGTACAGCTGGCCCTTGAACTATGCAGGGGTCAGGGCACTCACCCCCTGCGTAGTCAAAAGTCCCAATATAACTTAGGGTAGGCCCTCCCTGTCCGTGGTTCCTCTATATTGAAGGTTCCTTGATATCGCCATGGTTCTGTATCCATGGATTCAACCAACCACAGATGGTGGAGTGCTGTAGTATTTAAGTATTGAAGTATTGAAAAAAATCTGTGTATGAGTGGACCCAGGAAGTTCAAATCTGTGTTGTTCAAGGGTCAACTGTACGTTCTTTTCAAGAGCACGTGGAACATTTTCAAAAATTAACCATCTATTGGGCCATTAAAAATATCAGATTCAAAGGATTCAAATCATACAAAATACGTTCTTTGACAAGTGTTATTAAGCTAGAAATCGCTGACAAAAAGAAAACTTGAAAATGTCTAAATATGTAGAAATTTAACAGTATACTCCTCTATAACCCATGGGTTAAAATGAAATCACAATGCAAGCTAGAAAATATTTTGAATTGAATGATAAATAAAATATGGCATATTTAAAAACATGTGAGGGTGATATTCAAAAGGCGAAAACAGCTCAAAGGTCCATCAGCACGTGAATGGATGAACAAAATACGGTAGACAGGTATCCCCTGCTTTCCGAAAGTTCACTTTACGCCAGTTCACTTGTATGAAAGACCTACATTAGTGCCTGTTTTTGCTAACCACAGGAAACCCCAAGAGGATTTTAACTTTTGTGAAAAAAGATGAAAAGCGAAAAGTAGTGTTCAGGGTTTGTTTTGCAGCGAACCCTTAAAGAGGCAGTGCACCCCCTGCGCAGTGAGAGTGACACCCCCCAAGCTCCTCCCCTGGGAGCCGCACTCAGCATCTCAGCATCAAGCCGCCGTGGCTTTGAACTGTGTCTCTGAGCATCTGTGCTTTATCTCGATTTACTTTGTGCATCTGTTAGCAAGATGTGTCCTAGGATAATTGCTTCTTCGTTTGACACCAGTTCGGCTTACAAAAGGTTTCGTAGGAACGCTCTATTTTTGGATACAGGGGAGAACCTGTCTGCCTACAATAGCATAGTATTCAGCCGTAGAAAAGATGGGAAGTCTGATACATGTTACAACATGGATGAACCCTGAAAACATTACGCAGTAGGAAAGAAACCGGACACAAAAAGACAAATATTGTATGATTCTACCCATATAAGAGATTCAGAACAGGCAAATTCATAGAGACAGAAAGTAGAATAAAGGTTACCAGGGACCTGGGGGAGGGGGATGTGAGAAGTTATCTGATGGGTTCAGAGTTCCTGTTTGGGACAATGAAAGAGTTCTGGAGATGGACAGTAATGGTGATTGCACAACATTTTAAATGTACTTAATGCCACTGAATTGTACACTTAAAATGGCTGAAATAGCAAATTTTACATTATGTACATTTTACAATAGTAATAATAATAATAATAATAATAATAATAATAATAATAATAACCACCTATGAAGGGCAGGACTTCCAGAATACAGAGAGAGAACCTATGTATATCCTGTGTATATCCATCCCTCCATAAGAAGAAAAACCCTGGCAAAAACTGTCAAAATCAACTTTTTCAAAACTCTAGTAATTATCCAAAACTGATGATTCCCGTGGAAGTCAGGGAAGTCGTCCCCTGACTATCTGGCTCACATTCTGCCTCAAACCTACTGGAAAACATGATTACTGGGGTTGGGCTTAGCAACGTGCATTTTAAAATTAAAATTGCATCTGGTGATGCAATTGCTGCTCTAGGTTAGGAGAAGAATGATGCAGGGTGGCCCGCCAGCGCCCCCCTTCCCCCGTCTCAGGGATGGTTAGGGCTAGTCTAGGGGCTGAATGCACGTCCAGGAGCATTTTAGGACTCTTCAGGCTGACATCAATTCCACTCTATCCCTGCCTCACACACACAGTTCCAGGTCCCTGGAGCTTGGAGACCCTCCTTCCTCCCCTCGACCCTCCACCAGAGGTCCTAAAACAAAGGCCACCATGTGTTGACCTCTAGAGACTGATGACTGTGCTTCCCACCAAGCCAACTGATTGCCTAGAAGCAGTGTCATATCTGGATTCAGGGAAACTGAGATACAGACATGTTCCGAAGGACAGATGCAGTGTGTGTGTCTCCCCAAGTTAGCCCACTGGCATTAAGTTAGAAGTTTTCCTGGGAAACCAGCATAATTACTGTAGTATTTGCTATTCCATTCATAGCACTTATTTTGTAAACAATTCCCTGGAGAAAGACTCATAAATCCTGTTAAAACTATTATGAACTTAATGTTTGAGCTTTTCATGTACAAACGTTGAACATTTTACCCTTTTATGAGAAATCGGGGAAAAAACAAATCACTAAAGACAGTGAGAAAGCCCAATTTGGGTTGATTTAATGGGATTGTATTGTTGGGAATGTGGAAAGAGGGGAAGAGAGGAAGCCAAAGTTTAAGAAATCAAATGAAAGGATGGGTGAAAATCCCTCGCAATCCACAGGCTGTGACTTATAAGCCCATCACCTTATAACTTGTTTCTTCTACTTGCTTTCCTTAGGGTAACACTGCCAACCGGCTTTGCCCGCAGGGCTGTTCTCCAGGAGACCGCAGGTGTTAAAGGTGAGTGCAGCGGGATCGGTTCTGAGCCCAGCCCTTCTGCCAAGGGTGCTGCCCTGACATCCTTCACATTCTTGATTGTCATCCAGATGGTTCCATTTGCCTCCTAAAGGCAAGATGTCTTTCGCAACATGGCATGCTCCACTCTGGATCTGTTACTTTTAAAAATGACAGTTATTCCAAGGCAAGAAAATGTTCCTGCTCCATGTTAGTCCCAGCACGCACCTTCTGCCAGAGCTTACAGCTCTGGGTGATGTAACCTGAGCTGTCCTGGGCGCATCAAAGAACTAGGAAGAGAAACCAAACCACTACAACCCACCAACTAGGAAACTCCACTGACTCATCTATAACCACCTCCACCCCGTCCTAGCTAAGCTAGAATAACACTAGCTGCCAAAGAGATAAGCCTCCGAATTCCAGTTGCTTAACACAATAGAATATAGTTTTTCTTTCCTATAAAGGCGCAGGAGGAAGGTCCATTTTGCAGACGGACCTTCCACGGGGTGATTTGAGGACATGGATTTCCTTCATCTGCGGGTCCCTCCATCCCCTGGGGCCCCAGAGTCCTCAGTCTCTATCTGGCAGGTGGTGGGACAGAGGGTAGCGGAGACACACCTGCTTTTTCACCATTTTAGCCTGGAAACGACTCACATCGCATATGCTCACCTTCCAGTGGAAGAAGCGGTCATAAAGCGCCCCCCATGAGCCAGGGAGTCCAGATTCCTGGGCTGGGCAGCCTCTTCTTAGTAACAACTGTGCACTTGGAGGGGAACAGCTGGCCACCCTGACACACACTCTGATTTTGAGGAAGAAACACAATAGGTTTTTCCCGTATAATTTCCATCTCTCAGGGTTGAATCTTTGAAGGTTTAGTAAGACCAATGATCATCTCACATGAGGATTTTTTTTTTAGCACTTTGCAAAATATTCTGTTACTGTTTTGTGCTGTAGTATTTAAAGGCTCAGTATGTATGTGTGTGTTGTGTGTGTGCGGGGTGTGCATGGTGTTAGGAGGTGCCCTGCAGCCTTATGGGGTTCTCCTAAATAATGGAGTAAAGGATTTTAACCACTGTCTTGGACAGTCACGATTTTGCTGGCTTTCCTAATAAAACTGGACTTTACGGGAGCAGTACCTCTGAAATGGGTTTTATGTGTCCCTCTATGGTTTGTTGAGGAAAAGGACAGGACAGCTAACCTTTTGTGCTATTGTTACAATCAGGGAACACTTTCTTTCTCCCCTTTGCAGTAATAAACAGAGTACTGAAACATACTACCTGGTTCACCTGACCTAGGGTAGGGGAAATTAAATAATTTACCAGTGTATGATAGGCATTTGTTTTCCTACCTCCTCTCTTGTTATTACAGTAAAATAATGGTAGGAGGAGAGGCAGAAATAACCTAGTGTGTATATATATTCCTAACAATGACTTACTGATGGACTCGGCCCACGGTGCCTTTTTCACTCTACCCAGATGGTCATTTTAATTTAACTGATGACTACTCTTCATCAAGAGGTGACAATCCATCCAGGTAGAGTCATTTAATTTGGCCAAAGGATAAGTTAGTTCCCTTCGTTCTCCTTTGCAATTCCCCTGCCTAACTTTTAGATTATCAGCTTTGAGCCAGAAGTTCTACTGAAGGGAATTAAAAGGCGAAGCCAAGGATCAGTTAGTCAATACAAGCCCACTGGATAAATTTGCTCACCGCCAGTGGACACTGGTCTGTTGACAGTCTCTTCGTGGAAACGTGTCCATTTGTAGGACTGCAAATCAGACAGACTGTCCTTAAATGGGGTTCAAGAGCTTCAGAGGAAAAACATTCTCAAGTTCTTTTTCACATCTGCCTTTTAAAGAGTTCAGTCTTATTTGTTCTGCCTACGCTAAGGTGGACTTCCACTTGCGTTACTATGAATTTTCTTTCCAAGTGTTTTGGTTGTGGCTTTTCCCTCCTCTGGTTCATCATATGCTCATCGATGCTCATCAAAGAACAAAGCAATAGCTAATAAAAATTAAAATCAAATATCATCAGACTGCAATACAACAAACAGACATTGTTCAACCATTCAACTTGCTCTTCTCTTAGACTCTGCTAAGACTGATTCTAGCCAGTTTTCTTTGATTAAAAGCTTCTCTCCAGCAGAAGCAATTTACGAAGAGTGAGGTGGGATGCAGACCGTGCAGCACCTGGAGCAGCACTCATGGGCTGTCCTGTTCCCACCTCTTGTCCTTGGCACTGGACCTGTGTCCCTCTAGGATGAGCCCATGTTACTCTTGCAAAGAGTACACTGGCCCCTTTGATTCTTGTTCCAGGAGATGCAATATGTAGCGGTGGGGGAGGTTCTATATAGAATGACCACATCAAAGCTCAGATGAGACAGCATGTGTAAGATCTTCTTGGGCTATTCCCTAACCACACATAACAAACTCCAAGTCCCTAAAGCAGTTACTTGGAATTCTTTTTACAGTATATGGCCTTTTACAAAGATGGCAGTGTCCAGGAGAATATTTTCAAGAACCAATGATATTCAAAGAGGCAGCATGAATATGGTTTGTCATGTTACTTCAGGAATGTTTGTGTCCATTTTAAATATCTCATTTTTCTCCTATTCTTTCAGTCTCACTTTTCTTCTATGACATCTTCTCCAAACCTTGGAAGACTTCTAAAAGTAATAAGAACTCCCCAGACTACCCAAAAGTCATGTCTTCACACAGGGATATCTTAAAGCACTAACAAGATGATGCCACTTCTCTGTTTCCTGTCAATGAAATCCTAATTATTTATCAAGGTCTGGAAGGTCTTACACAAATGTGACCCTGCCTATCTTTCCAGTTTCATTTCATGCCTCTTCCCTTTTGCTTACTCTGTTCCAGTTACATTGGCTTCTTTCAGGAACTTGACACACTAAGCCATTTCCCACCTCAGGACCTTTGCACATACATTCTCTTTACTAGAATGCAATTATCCTGGCTCTGCTGTGCTGTATCCTTCTGGTTTGAAATTAGATGTCACCTCTTCAGAGAGGTTTTCCCTGGCCACAATATTTAAAGTAAGGTCTTCACACTCTTCCCATTTTTAATTTCTATCTTAGAGCCTAGTTGAGTGTTATTTTGTTTACTTGCTTATTATCTCTTTCCTATTCTAGAACATAAGCTTCATAAGAGCAGAACTTGTCTGTCTTGTCTCTGTATCTCCAGCACCAGGGACAGGGCTCAACACACACAAATGTCTTACAATTGTATGGGACAATTAGATAATTGGGGAACAGTGGTTTTTATGGACCTTCCATGGCTAGCATTTTCTTTCCCACAAAGATTTCCTTAGAGAGGCAGTTTCTTACATATAATTTGTCTTCCCGAAGGGAATTTGTATTTTTAAAAATTAGGATGTCATTTTTACAGACGCAACCTTTCAAAAACTTGTATTTCCGATGGCAGGCTTTAGGATCCTGTGTGGCAGCACATGAAATGGTCATACTTCAAAAACGGAATGAATAAATCACATGTGGCCCTGTTGCATATGTATGTAATCTTCATTATACACACTCCTCCATCCCCCACCCAGGTTCTGTACAGGGTTAAGGAGGTACAGCCAGGCAAACCCAAATCTGAAACAGACACACAGGGTCGTGTAAACAAGAGATGGTGGGGGGGGGAGGGTAGAGCTCAGTGGTAGAGCACATGCTCAGCATGCATGAGGTTCTGAGTTGAGGCCCCAGTACCTCCATCAAAAAAAAAAAATTATATAAATAAACCTAATCACCTCCCCCCTCCAAAAAATAAAGATAAAATAAATGTTTAAAAAAATAGTAATAATAAAGCGAAAGATGGTGAGTGTGATTTGGGGTGAGAGGGAGAGAGGAAAGAGGGCAGGGGAAGAACTTTCTGCTGTTTAGTACTGTAGGTGTCCTGTGGCTTCCATGCTCTGTTCACTTTGTTTCCATAATGTCTCAGGGATGTGTCCCCTCGTGCTGTTTTGAGATGATTTCCAAAGCTCAGTGCTCCTGGAGGCTGGGCGCAGAGTCAAGGTGGAAGCAGGTGGGCAAGGGCGTGTCCCAAGAGAGGGGCTTTCGCCGCAGGTGTTCACGTCTGCCTGACGAAGGAACGATAGGCTGACCCTGGGGTGGAATCGCGAAGGGATAGATGGCAGCTGGATGAAGCATCCCGCCCCCAGCTCCCCTGGGAGACTCACAGCTGCCCAGTGCAGGCTCCTCCCCACGCAGGCCAGCTGCTCCCGGGCAGAGGCCTGGGGGGGAATCCTGTGTTCTCAAGTATGGGACGGGGGTCACAGGAAAGACCCCTACCTCCTCCGCTTCAGCTACTGGGAGAAACCCTGGAATGAAGCCGTCCCCGCCAGCCACAAACTAATCTTATCTGCCTCCTCCCGGGTGTGACCCCATGCATTCCTGAGCCTGTCACCTGAGTTGTTCCTCCCGGAGGTTCCACGCATTTTTCCTTCCTGCCACCTGCACCAAGAATGTTCTCGCTCTTTCTTCTCCCATCCCCCACCCGCCACCTGTTGCCTGACGCGGATGGATGTCACCACTCCCCTCCCGGCGCAAGCGCTCCAGGTCCGTTCTGCTGGGGGCAGAGGACGCCTCAGGCTTGAGCATGCACGTCCTCCCTGGCTTTCCCTAGGGCCACTTTTGTGTGCCTGCCACGGTTAACAAAGGCAAGCTGCCCCTGGGGTTGGGTGAGGACAAATCACCACCCTCCTCCGCCTCCCTCTCCCGCCGTGGAGCTTGACAGCCCCAGGCTGCCCAGGGTGTGCCCAGAAGGGAGCAAGGTGACTCAGAACAAGCCTTCCCTGCCGCGGGGTTCCCATGTTCACTCCTGGTGCGGGCTGTCACAGCAGAAGGGTCTTCTAATGCCAGGATTTAGTTTGCTTTGTGGCTAATTTGCATGCCTGGCTGTGGGAAGTGCACACATTTCTTTTAAACTACAGAAAGGAAAAAGTTCACGTTGGCCACCTGTAAATCTAGACAGCCTGGGAAGCAGTTTGCCCAG